TAAAGCATTAATACAAGGATTCAATACATCTCTACTCAACTGTTTAATAAAATAACTTAGAACGTTTAGAGGTGAAACATTCAACTTGGCCAAAGTGGCAACTCAAGTCTTACATAAGAAATAATAGTGTAATGACAATTGATCTATTAACTGTCTGTGAATCCTCTAAAACAAAGAGGGATGTTTGGACAAGACCCCCGATCATCCTAACACCTAAAGTACTAAAATCAAATGATAAAAAGGAGCCCTCCAGAAAGCAAGGAGGCTCACATACTGACCCTGAGTGCTCAACTGGATCAAAGAGGCACTGGATGTTGATCCTAGTTACCTGTGTCTGCATAATAAAATGATGTCGGCCAAATGGCATCAGTACATTGAATGTACGGGTATGCGAGGGGAATACTAAACAAGACATAAGCTTGAAAGGAATCTGAAAGGAACACTTACCTTGACTTTACTCAACTCATGAATAACTTAACTCAAATGCAAAGTAAATTAACAATCATGGTGCAGTTATACAAAACATTTAAAGCAGGAGGTAGCAACTCAATTTGTTAAAGAAATGCAATAAAAACTCAATTTACATATAAAGTAATAGAATATTGTGGGAGTTTTTCTACCCGACAACCACCACTAATAGCCTAACTGATGATACAATGTCTTGCCCACGCTGTCAGAAATATCCTATACATTGTCAGCATATAGAATGCCTTAACTAAGTGGATCCACTAGTCTATGCTAAAGAGCTCTAAGAAATCATCTAAAAAGTATGATCCTTATCTACCCATGATGGCTACATGGTTTATGGAGACTTGAGTTATTATGAACTCGCATCCCCATATCGGTGCTCAATACTACTCCCAAAATATAATCATCTCATATGTTTTTAAAAACAAATCACTTTCTTTGGTTTGAGATAATTACTCAAAACATAGCTTGGAAATTGTTGTTTCGTTTCTTGCTCAAATGTGAAAACATTTTTAACTCATGGGAATACTTTATTCCCGTATAATCTTTGAAGAAATGAACTTTACTCTTACTCTTTACTCAACTCAAAGCCTTAGTCGTAAAACAAAGTTAAAACATTTGTGAAAAACTTTTGGAATATTGTAAGAACTTCTCCTGACTTAACTCTTAACCTTTTGAGTTAACTCTTAACTTTCCTTGAATTGAAGTATGGATTCAAGGCTCATGAGCTCATGTTAATGATGTTTTCATGATATTTAGACGTTCCTTAGAGTATAAAAATCGACCAAAAAACATAGGGATGTTGCTAAGGAACTAGTATGAAAAGAAGGTGGAAAAGGTGGAAGAACTGGCGTCCCTGGCACTCTGAGAGGCACGGGGCGCCAGCCCTTTAATTTCAGGGGCTAAGTTGGAGCGCTCTGGCTGGAGCGGAGCCCTAGAGCCCAAATTTTAGAGCCCCATTTGGAGCGCTCTGGCTGGGGCGGTGCACCAGGCCCCTGCTAAGAAACCTCCGACTTTTCTTCTTCATTTTTCAACTCTAAAGCCCTATAATTTAGTTGGTTCTTTCTCCAAACACTTACAATCAACTATACCATCAATATATGTAAGATTCTACTCGAAAACACACCTAAAATCATGAGTCAAACTCAAGAAACATCAACAACAAGAACCCACAAGATTTCAAACGAATTATCATCAAGAACTTATAAGATATGCTTTCAAAAAAATACAACTTCGCTGAATTGAATCATGATTGGCACATGGGTGAACGAACCCAATGCTATGCGATCTCACATACCTCGTAGAACTGAATCCTTGGTGAAATCCACAACAAAAATGTAAGATCTTGACGAATCTTGCCTTTTCTTCTCAATTCTCCTCTTTTCTCCTTTCTCCAAGCCCTAGCGTGAATTTCCAATTTTCTAAACTGATCTAGTTCTGATTTGACCCCAATTAAACTTGTAAAATTGAAATAAAATAATTGGTTAAAGAAAAGAACAAATTGCCCTTCCAAAATCCGGATTAGACTTTCCTTATTTGAACAACTCAACTTCAATTAGGCATACCTCTCTAATACGAACTGGGAATCGCTTAAAATCGGCTGCATTGGAAAGATATTTCCTATGGTATCTAGAAGAACACCTAACTCATGCTGAGCTAGGAGTTATAGTCATATGAAGTTGACCAAAAACTCTAACTTAACTTAACTCAACCAATTTTCCAAATTTTTCCTTCTTTCCTAAAATGATTCTTTCCAATTTTATCTCTTTCTAGTTCTTTCAAATAGAAAGATGTTACAATATCTCTCCCTTGGGAACATTCGTCCTCAAATGAGATTACTCTTTCTAGGCAAAGGGTGTAACATCTAACATTCAACTCAAACACCCAACAATTAAATCTAACACATCAAGTATAAAAATTAAAGAGTACTAAGAACAAAATTAGTACCTTGGTCTGGAATTTCTCCGGGCTCAAAGAGATGTGGATATCTCTTCTTCATATCCTCCTCAGCTTCCCAAGTACCTTCCTCAACAAACTGGTTCCTCCAAATGACATTGACTTATGCTACTTCCTTGGTTCTCAACTTACGAACTTGGTGGTCTAGAACCTGAACAGGGATCTACTCATAAGATAAGCTATCCTTGATACCAATATCTTTAGTTGGTATGATAAGTGAAGGATCTCCCAAGCACTTCTTCAACTTGGAAATATGAAATACCGGATGAACCGCTGCTAACTCTTGAGGTAGATCTAACTCATAAGCTACATAACCAACTCTTTTGGATATTCTATAAGGGCTAATTTACCTGGGACTAATCTTACCCTTGTTACCAAATCTCACAACACCCTTCATGGGTGAAACATTCAAGTATACCCAATCATCTACTTCAAACTCCAACTCCCTTCTCCTAACATCAGTGTAGGATTTCTGACGACTGCACTGTTTTCATCCTCTCTTGAATCACTTTCACTTTCTCCATAGCTTGATAAACTAAGTTTGGTCCTATCAACCCTGCTTCACCAACTTCAAACAATCCAATATGAGATCTTCATCTTCTCCCATAAAGAGCCTCATAATGAACCATCTGGATGCTAGAGTTGTAACTATTGTTATATGAAAACTCAATAAAAGGTAGGTGATCATCCCAATTACCTTTGAAATATATCACGCAAGCCCTCAATATATCAAATGATGCGCTATGGTTGCCCATCTATCTGAGGATGAGAATCGATACTTAAGTTCATCTTTAAACCCAAGCCTTTTTGGAATGACTTCCAAAACTATGCAGTAAATTGCATACCTCTATATCCAATAATGGAGATCAGAACTCCATGAAGTCTAACTACCTCTTGAATATACAAATTAGCATAATTTTCTATCGAGTGGGTAGTCTTTACCGGCAAAAAGTGGGTTGATTTCGTCATTATATCAACAATCACCCAAATAGAATCATACTGCCTGCCAGACCTTGGTAAACCTGTAATGAAGTCGATATTGATCATCTCCCACTTTCCATACGGAAGTTCTATATTATGAGCCATACCACCGGACCTTTGGTGCTCTACTTTAACTTGTTGGCAATTCAGACACTTAGCAACAAACTCTGCAATGCCCTTCTTCATACTACTCCACCAATAAACTTCTATCAAGTCACGATATATATTTGTGGAACCCATATGAATGGAATATCCAGAGCAATGAGCTTCCTCTATGATTCTCTCTTGGAGTTCATCCACCCTTGGTACACACAACCTACCTTGATATCTCAATACGCCATCTCTCACGCGTTCAAAAGCCAATACTTTTTACTTATGAACATTTTCCTTCAATTCAAGCAAAATAGGGTATTGGTATTGTTTCTCCTTTATTTTTGACACTAAGGATGATTCAGCCCCATTCATCACCACTACTCTTCCTTGTGTCGAATCCATTGATCGGACTCACAAGTGTGCAAGTCTTTGCACATCTTTTGCTAGTTCTTTCTTATCTTCCTAAAAATGGGTGGTACTACCACTACAACAAAAAGGATTATTAAAGACCAAGATATTGTGACAAGTTATAAATATGGTCCCTAAAATATATCTATAAGGATTATATTATTTACTAGTCCCTAATTGACTATATTATTTTCTAAAAACAAAATAACTCGTCCCTAAGTAAAAAATTTCAGCGGGAAATTAGAAGTGAAGAGCGGGAACAAGAAGCGAAATACTAAAAGGCACAAAAATAATTTCTCTCTCTATAGTAATAACCTAAAACCCCCAAATCCATTGATAAAGGTTCAGATATTTCTGTCTCTCTCTAGCTAGCAATCTGCCAAAATCACTAAAGTCTCTTTCATTTCTTTTTCTCTTGCTCTATCAAACACGCACAGAAATCTATGAAATCTTGAAGCTTGAATGCATTATTGACAGCAAAATCTCCTAAATCATTAAGTTTGAACGAATTATTGGGAGCAAAACGATTCATCTACCACTTGTATCTACATCTAAGGTAATTTTATTCCTCCTAATTCATATCCCCCTTCTTCTTTTTCTGTAAAATCTTTCATTTTTCTTTCTTGATAATTGAATACTATGTGATTGAGCTCTTATAGATACTCATTGTTATTGTGTTAGGACCAAAAATGCTAGTTTTGTAGGCAAGGTTGGGGTTTAGGTTCAAAGATGAGATATTTGAGAGTCTATTTAACGATTTTCTCTGTTAGGATTTCATAATTTTTGCTGCCACGAAATTTTGGTAAGGCTGGCATAGCAATTTTTTTCTATCAGCTGATTAATTAGTTGAATATTTTTTCCATTAGTATCTTTAATTTCAGTTCCCAGTTTATATGCTTTGATTTTGAATGATTGTTTTTATTGTATTACCATTGTATTCAATTTTAAAGTATAATCTGACAGTAAAAAGATTAGACGAGAAAGAAACAAAATTTTTAACTTGTGTCTATGAGTAGCTTGAACGACACATAAGTTCTCTAAACTTATGTCGAGCAAATTAGATACTACACAACTTATGTCAAGAAGAGAGATCTCTAACTTGAAGGACTAACAACTCTTCTTCCTCTGTACACATTACCAAATCCTCCTTGTCCTAGTTTGCTTCTGAAGCGACCGGTGATTCTTTTGATGTCTGTATAATTGTATCTGTTTGGAGCATATGATCCATAGTTCTTTAAGAATTCTTCAACTTTTTGGTGATCCTCAGCATTAGATTCCCAAAACCTGATGTATTTGTACCACAACTTTTTTTCTCTGAAGCAAAAGAGTAGTAAAGCCAACAGTCCAACAGTAGACAAACTTGCACCTATGGGAAAAAATGAAATCATGACCCATCAGAGAAAAAAATTTCCCTCAACTCCACATCCATATATTTTGTGTACTGAAAACTATTTAATTCTTTTCTTTTTGTTTCTTTATCACTAGAGAAAGGTTTTGAGCTAATACAAAATGATGAGAATTTAAATGTTATGCATGAAAATTCTGTAATAAGAATAACATGAAAGCAATTAAATATATTCTAGTACCTGTGACCAGAATCAGCTTCCCCATGTTTCTTTCGGTTGTTACTATTCTTTGGTCGGTACTACTTGTAGGTATTTTTGCATCTACAAAAGGAGGAATTAATACGAAATGTATTATCTATGCGTCATGAAACAAGAAAGTGACTTAAGAAGCATGAACTTGACCTTGAAATACAGATTATTTTGGAGATGTCTACCTTTGTGACAAGAAAATTTGTTGGTTTTATCACTCTGGCATTGACCTCCACCATAATGGCATTTGTTACATTCCTCAGATAATTTTCATTCTACTAGAATTTCGAGACCTAACATGTTGAACAAATCACCGTGACTTGACTGAATTGGCAATCTGATTAGTGAACAGTTGGTAGGAATATTGTCTGCTCCTATGTATTCATCGGAAAGCTTATAGTATATGCTAAAGCCTTCACAGCCACTGTACATATTATAACCCACAAAATGATCGTTCTTCTTCTGCGTAATGTTATGAACATTATTACTTCTACTGATGCATTTGAAGATGTTTATAAGATTAATCATATTGAAAGAAATAGAAGGCATTTGTTCACTACACTTAACATTTAAAAGCATAATTGATTTGGAAAATTTGTGAGAAACGTATATCTTGGTGTAAAGACTTGAAGTCTTGCATCAATATATAGACTTAGTCGTCAAGCCTAGTGAAGAGACAACTATCACTTTTTTTTTGTGAGTTTCATATATCAACTATCCATTGTTGCTTTCACCTATCTAAACTATATATCACTCTTCTCTTTGTATCAAAACACACCACGATGCAGAGTTCACTAAATATTGTTCCTACTCGACAACAGGTGTGTGTAGGCGTATTCAACATCGAAGGTATGTTTTAATACAGAGGGAGTGATACTTTAGGTAGGTAAAAGCAAACACTGGATAGTTGAGATATGAGACTCACGAAAAGGTGAAAAGAGTTAATGGTAAAAAACACACATATAAAGAAGTCTATTCTAACATATTGGGAGTGGAAAAGTCTCAGAATTATATTTAGATATTTCCAAAGAATTTTGTCAACATCTAAAGGACTTTTCTCCCTCTACTTATGCATTCTTTTCTCTTTTTTCTCCGTTTGGTCACAATCGTTTTCCACGTAGGACACTATATACAGTTCTATTCTAACATTTTTAGACATAAAATGCTAGAGAGACAAGAATTGAACTTGAGACTAAATTTTCTTCACTATACACTGAGATTCCAGGAACATTTTCCTTCAGTCTTTATATACAAAATAAGTACTTCTTGTTCACATTTAATGTCTCATAGAATCTCTGAGAACAATTATCATTTGACAGAACCAATATAGTAAGCTCTGATGTCAATGCTGAATAAAACACTCAACTAAGAGGAGCTTTGTTAAAGCATTTGAATTATTCAGTAGCATTCTAGTTTAATTCTACTTTCTCTATTTCAATTTTTTGCAATTTCTTGAACAACATTGACTCGAAACTAGCTGACAATCTTTGCTTTCAGCCAATATTGTGAATATCAAGATATTTGAAAGGTGGGGCTTCCTCAAAACCTGAATTGTTGGTTGAGCTACGTTCAACTCAAAAAGAAAATAAGTCTTTGAAGGATTGCATATCTAACTTTCAAAATGAGATGAAAGAACTGAAGCAATTGAAAGAATTTTTTTTAGCGCAACACCCTAATTTCCAGCCTCCAATTCAAGAGAATGACTATTCGGATACTTGATGATACCATGTGAGTAAAAACTTACCTGAAACATCATTTTATTTTGCTGGTTCTGCATAGCGAAGCTATTAGTTGTTGGTTGTTCTATCGTAAAATATATTTGTGTGTTTGATATATATTATAAAAGTAGTTGAATGATTATGCGTGCTGTAACAGTTTCCTGTAAAATTAAAGTGGTTGACATACTGCATACTATGATTTCGATCTTACATCTTAAGATTTTTGTTGGGTCGTTCAAAGTGGCTTCGAGTAAGGTGTGAGTACATTGTCCTAGTTGTATCTGTGAGAGTGAAAATGTAATCGTATACAGTACATATAGTGGTTCATGTTTTTGTGTATACCTTTAGACTTCCCTTGTTGTTTAGAACATGTACAATGTAACTCTATATTTTTTTCAGCACACTAACTCCTGATGAAATTTTGCAGAGAAAAAGGGATTTTTGACTATTTAAGGATTTTCAAGTGAGGACAAGAAACTCATTTAGAACATGTAAGATTCTTCTATTCCAGCTCTTCTCTACTCCTGTGATAAAAATTCAATGCTCTGCTATGTAGTTATAAAATCGAAAAGGCTTCGGACCCTTTCCATCATGTTCCTCCATTTTTACTAAGTGGACAGTGATCTGAAAAATGGGTTCTAGGATTACTCCCTCTATGTTTGGCCATTGCTGAACTCACTCAGCATTAACAATCTGTCACTTAGAATCTGTCACTTGGTGCTGCAGCATTTTTGAATCTGTCACTTGGTGCTGCAGCATTTTAGAAGTTGTCACTTTGAGCTACAGCATTTTAGAAGCTGTCACTTTGAGCTGCAGCATTTTAGAAGCTGTCACTTTGAGCTGCAGCATTTTAGAAGCTGTCACTTTGAGCTGCAGTATTTAGCATTTTAGAATCAGTCACTTGGTGCTGCAACATTATTGATCACTGGTTCTAAGTCACCCCATAAGGCCCTCTTGTAGTTCAATTTTCTGTAACCCATACACTGCTCCAAAGTAAAATCTAGTATTCGATTTTATTCTAGTACAATATCCAAAGATAAATTGTTAGTGCACAACATCAACTCTAAAGTTGATGATAGAGTAGTCCCGTAATACCCAAATCCTTCCCCTTCGATCAATATTGTAGTTCACAGCCATTTCCATTTATCCCCAAGGTTCTTTATGATTTTTGGTGCTCTCTCTTCTTTGACTTTGTTTTCTAGTATACCTAATAGAATAAAATTATTTTCTCTACAAAATGCCTTCATCTCCTTATGCTTATATACTTGATTTGTGCCTCTTACATTACATGTTATGATGCTCATTAAAATTGGTTTTGTGTTGTGCTACTCCTCCTCCACATCGTTTGCCATATACCCCAATCTCCTGCATTATTTTCCTATGAGTAACCTGTGTAACAACTTGTGTAAACGTGTGAATGAATTAGATGTCTCTAGTCCCCTATCCATGTTCATACCCACACTCATTGAATAGTCCCTATCCTTTGATAAAGTGTTACATTTTTAGTCCTACTTATAAACAAACAGAATGTCCTACGTTCCACTGTTGATAAGAACTCTACTGAAATAACAGTAACATGTAAAACTAACTAATGGCAACTCTCAAGTACTCTTTAATCTTTCCACAAGTACTCTTTAATCTGTTCTTCCTTTCCTTCAATATTTGTTTCCTAGACTTCTCAACCTTAGTGTCAAGCCCATTCCTGATGAGCCTATACTTTGGCTCATACTTCTTGGCATTCTCAACGGAATCATAAATCAAACCAAATCTTGTTGATTTCCCACCTCCAAAATGTGTACGTAACTTGGAAACAAAAATAGCATTTGTGTCCTTTCTGCTTATTTTTATATATAGGTTTTCTAAATGAAAGTTTAAATTCTTTTACATATTTTGGATGCTGAAATTTTGCAGAAACTCGATGTTAAACAACATGTAGATTGACCATTTTTTGTTGGGAAGGTGAAGGCAACTTTGGATTATATATAGTTTAAGGATAGTATATAATTTTTTTGCTAAGGATTCATGATCACAATATTGTTACTAGCTTAGTGAGATGACTTATATTCACCTTATTTTGTAATTACATTATATATTATATATGAAAGTGACAACTTTATATTATTGATCATATTTTCTAGGTGCAAATTATATGTGATCTAAGGACTAGATTGTTAGTCCGTATTCCTTTGGGTAGGAAATTTTAAATGGTTGTGAAATGACTTATGGACCACCTTCAAAATGGTCCCAAAATGATTTAGGGACCAGCTTAAAAGTTTTCGTAAATTCGACGAGCTACAAACTGGTCGCAGACTCATTTACGGACCAGTTTCAAACTGGTCGAAAATTGATTTATAGACCAGCTTCAAGCTGGTCACAAACTGATTTACAGACCAGCTTAGAAGTCGTCCTAAAATAATTATGGACCAGTTAAAAACTAGTTGCAAAATGATTTAACGACCATAATTTCAATTTCAATAAGTGCGAATAGGTACCAGATATATGGTCCCTAAAAGTATTTTAAGGACCAGTGATATACTAGTCGCGAAAAAGAATCAGCGACCAGCCCGATAATCTCGTCTCTAAAGGTCCTTAGCGACTAGGCCTATAAGGACAAGTGTAACTGGTCGCTATTTCCCTTTTTGGGACCAGGTTCATACTTATAGGGACCAATTTTCCCTTCGCTATTGGGCAGTTTTCTTGTAGTGTACCCATAGATAACCTGCTCAAGGCATTAGCAACAATATTATCCTTACCCTAGTGGTAAATAATACTCATGTCATAATCCTTGAATAATTCTAACTACCTCCTTTGTGTGATATTAAGCTCTTTCTGAGTAAACATATACTGAAGAATCTTGTTATCGGTGAACACATCTACATGAACACCATAAAGATAATGGCGCCATATTTTCAAAGCAAATACTACGTCAACCAACTCTATATCATGGGTTGGGTAATTCTTCTCATGAACTTTCAACTGTCTGGAGGAATACGCTATAATCTTGCCATTCTTCATTAACACACAACCCAAACCAACTCTAGATGCATCACAATAAACAACAAAGCCTTGCATGCCTTCTGATAAGGTCAATACTAGGGAAGTAGTTAACCTCTTTTTTAACTCCTGAAAGCTTTTCTCACAAGCTTCAGACCATTGAAATTTCACTATTTTCTGAGTTAACTTTGTCAAAGAGGATGAAATAGATGAGAACCCCTCTATGAACCTTCTATAATACCCAGTCAAACCCAAGAAACTCCTAAAATTAGTTGGAGATGTGGGTCTAGGCCAATTCTGCATTGCTTGTATTTTCTGGGTATCAACTTTAATTCCCTCTCAAGACATAATGTGGCCTAAGAATGTCAGAGACTCAAGCCAAAACTCACACTTAGAGAACTTGGCATATAACTCTCTATCCTTTAAAGTTTGGAGAACTAGTCTGAGATGACTAGCATGATATTCTTCATTCCTCAAATAGATTAGTATCTCATCAATGAATATGATAACTAATATATCTAAATAAGGCTTGAATACTCTATTCATAAGGTCCATGAACGTTGCAGGCGCATATGTCAAATCAAAGGATATAACTAGGAACTCATAATGACCATAACAGGTCCTGAATGGTGTCTTTGGAAAATCACATTCCTTTACCCTCAACTGATGGTAGCCTGATCTAAGGTCTATCTCAGAGAAACAAGTAGCACCCTGAAGTTGATCAATGAGATCATCAATTCTCAGAAGAGGGTAATTATTCTTGATGGTAACCTTGTTCAACTGGCGGTAGTCTATACACATCCTAAGGGAACCATCCTTCTTCTTCACAAATAAGAGCAGAGCTCCCCAAGGTGAGACACTTAATCGAATGAAACCCTTATCTAGGAGAACATTCAACTACTCCTTCAACTCTTTTAACCTTGCTAGTGCAATTCTGTATGGTGAAATAGATATAGGATGAGTATCGGGAAGAATATCTATACCGAAGTTTATCTCTCTCTCTCAGGAGGGACTTCGGCTAGATTATCTGGAAACTCATTTACAACTGAAATTGACTCAATAAGAGGTGTCTCAAAAGTATAGTCATTAACTCGGACCAAGTGTATACACAAACTTTTGAAACTAACTTTATCGCCTTAAGGTATGAAATGAAACGACCCTTAGTGTCACGACCCAAGCCTAGGGCCTAGACGTGACATGGCGAATGAGGAACCCGAAGGAACCCCAAACAAGCCTCTCAAACTTGTCATCACACTTCATCGATCGCGGAAGTACATTCAACATTTATTAAACGGGAAATAGGGACTAAGGGCAAACCATTTCAAAATGACATCATAGAACAAGAGTCAAGCTCATTTACAAAATACGTGTCCAACGCACACCTCTACATACATAGATAGGACGGGGCCATGACATACTACTGGCTCCCCTCATAGTCAAAATACAATTGCAAGCTAAGGTCTCAAAACATAGGAGTAGGAAACATAACATAGCCCTCGAATCATTGAGGACTCACCAACAACTCGGATAAGCACCGTACTAGCCACGTGAATGGAGAGAAGGATCAAGAGTAGCTCCGGTCCCTACATGGTGACATCATGTAGGCAAAATATGCGTTAGTACTTGGAATGTACTAAGTATGCGGGGTGCAACACAACAATAGACAAGGACACAATCGAAATACAAAAAATAGTTTCATAGGCATTATGAATAATAATATGAGGATGCATGATCAAAGTGAAGTCAAAACATGTTTAAGTAAATCTATACTAATAGTAGATATCATATATGTATGCATAATCCAACCAATATATAACCCCAACATAGGATGGGGGATGTCGTTCACACCCGGACACCCTGGTGGCAAGGTATAAACCCCTCGCATGGTTGATGTTGGTCACACCCCAAGCATCCTAGGTGGTGAGATATAAACCTCTCACATGGTTGATGTTGGTCACTCCCCAAGCATCCTAGGTGGTGAGATATAAACCTCTCACATGGTTGATGTTGGTCACACCCCAAGCATCCTAGGTGGTGAGATATAAACCTCTCACATGGTTGTCCGGTTCTTTTCCCCTGGACCGGGCATGGTCATGCAACACTTTATATAGGAAATTCCCATTAGGCTCTAATGCAATCTCACGTATGAAATGAACATATACACAAGCTTAGTTTGTCATCAACACATCTCTGGATTTCCATACATCTCATAACTCAAGCTTTAAAGCATTGATTCATCAATTCTCCATAGTTGGACATTTTGTCAAACACCTTGAAGGCATGTAATGGAATCAAAGAGCATGGAAAATAGGGTAGTAATTATGCAGCCAAACCAGTGAACAACCTACAACAACACCTTTTTAACACCCATAATACCACATGAAAATCTCCACATCCATTCCAAATTTAGGTTCAAGTTCTAGAGTCACAACATGCTCAAAACAATCACTTTTCATGTTTAAAATTCAATGTGCAGGAAATTATTACAAAGAACAAGACTAATTTATGAATCTTAACTTAAACCATGAATTAGTGAGTAGAATAGAGTCTAGGCACTATGGGTGGAAGGACCCATGAGTTCAACACCACATACCTTGAGTTTTTATGAAGGTCTTGATAGTGTCTTCAATGGAAGCTTGGAACTTGGAGCAAGAGTCTCTTCAATCTTGAAGAAGGTTTTGGATTAGGGTTCTTGAGAGAACTTGAGAGAAAATGTGTCTAAGTATGGGAGAGGTGTTTTGGGAAATGTTTTAGAGATGGGAATTGAACTAATGGTATATAGGAAATAACATATGCCCTTTGGAAAAATGGTCCAACACTTAGAAAAACAAATGAGGCGGGTGAACAGTAAAAACGCTCACTGGAAATTGCCTTTCCTGCCGAACAGATTTTACGAAAATGGGCATAACTTCTTCGTCCGAACTCCGAATGAGGTGAAACGAAGTGCGTTAGGTAGCTAACTCAAAGGGCTTTCCATGGATATGTTATTGGACACCCAATAATTTGTGTGCTAGGAGATATGACCCTCCAAAGTAGACCCTCGAAAAAGGCTTCACTTGGAAATTTCGGATTTTGATACAGTTGCTCTAAAATTTGGGTTAGACCCATTTCCCACTCAATTTGACCCCCTAAACAAGAATATGAAGTCGGATTTTCAAAAAACGAAACAGATTTTTATATATAGCTAAACAAGTTTCCGGTAACTTCCGAAGCACATTTTTAAGAACTTTTTGGGTCATTTCACTTAGGCACTGTTGAACTGCTACTCCACTCTATAACTGGCTCATTAGGAATTTGGAACCTAACAACTCGAGTTCTACAATCAATGGAGGCATAACAGGCATGAAACCAGTCCATACCAAGAATGACATCAAAATCTACAATGTCTAGCTCACCTAAATCGGCCATGGTGTTCTTGTGATTGATGGAAACGACACAATCACGATATACTCAGTAAACTACAATAGACTCCCCAACAGGTGTAGAAACACAAAAGGGTTCACAAAGTTTCTTAGGCAGAACATCAAAATTATTTTCAACATAAGGAGTCACAAAAGATAAACTTGCTCCTGGGTCTAACAAAGCATAAGCATCAAGAGTAAAGACTTTGATCATACCAGTGACAACATCTGGAGAAGTTTCTTGCTTTTGACGACTAGTGATCGTATAAAGGCGGTTTCTTCCTCCGCCAGTATCGAAAGTAGCTCCTCTAGGTGCAACACTGTCGAGTGGAGCAACTGATGAAGATTGGGATTTATTGCCCTGATTTCCATTACCTTGCCGATTCTTAGGGCATTCTTTCATGAAGCAACCCTCTTGTCAACATTTTAAACAACCTGTGGAGACATCGCGACATTTACCTTGATGGGTCCTACAACACTTAGCACATGAAGGTTACCTCCTTGTGGCACACTACCCTGAGACTGTACAGGTCAAGATCAGAAGTGCTGTGAATTCTGACTAATGTACTCACCTTTGTTTCTGGGTGCAAGTGCACTAGCAGATGGATCAGGTTCCTTTTTCTTTTGTTTGAAAGAAGACCGGTTCAAATTATTTCTGTGCTGCCCGGGCTCATTCCTAGTCTTCGCTTTCTTTTTTCAGAACTCCTCTCTATCCCTCAGCTTATGTTCCTCAACCTGCTGCACATAGACCATCAACCTAGTTATATCCATGTCCCAATTAGCATGGCTGCGTTGCCCTCTTTGCTTGACAGACGGGACAACCCATCAACAAAAAGTCTCATCCTACTTCTCATATCCTCAACCATCTCCGGAGCACAACGGGAAAGTTGGGTGAACTTCAAGTTGTACTCATGAACACTTAGTCGATCCTGCTTAAGGGTGAGAAACACTCGTACCTTAGCCCAACTCGCAGGTGGTGCTCACTCAGCTCTACGCTTTTTCCACTGGTCAAACCAAGTTCTAACAACATTCTTCAGTTGATATACAACTAGTTCTACTCGCCCAACATAGGGAATGTGCATAAACTTAAATACCTTTTTTTTCAGTTCCTCAACTAAACTTTTTGGATCCTCAGTAGTTCTTGAACCAGTGATACTTGGAGGATTCAACCTCAAGAACTCTCGGATCCTCGAAGTATCAGCCACTTCTTTTCTAGCTCCTTTTTGCTGCCCAACCTGGTTAGTCACAGCTTGGCTTAACATTCAAATCGCTTCCCTAAATTCAACATTCGTGACTTTTCCTTGCGTTGCACTTCAGGTGCATTAGGTACCCCTTGCTCCTCAACGTTCCTCCTAGTAGGATAGCCTCGGAAAACTCTTCGTGGAGGCATGATTAACTGAAAGACACGCACAAGAATGAATTAGAAGAAACTTTTTAGAGATCAAACTCTACCGCACGAACTGAGTGTGTAAGAAGTGAGGTAATTTCCTAAGTGTTGCAGCCTCCTAATTATAGATGTAGCGCACTTCACACCAATAACTAAGACTCTATATACACAGCTTGATCGACTCCCTAGGACCCTTGAAATTTGGGCTCTGATACCAAATATTTCACTCCCCGAACCTACACCCTTGGTGGGACTGGCACCCGAGAAACATTTTCGGCCCCAAGCGAACCCTTGGTCTTATTTAACTTTTAGCGGAAGACTTAAAGCTTCATACAAGGATTCAATGCATCTCTACTTAACTGTTTAATAAATTAACTTAGAACGTGTAAAGGTCAAACACTCAACTTGGCTAAATTGGTAACTCAAGTCTTAATATAAGAAATAACAATGTAAAGAAAAATGAACTACTAACTGTCTCTGAAGCCTCTAAAACAAGAAGGGATGTCGGGACAAGACCCCCAATCATCCTAACAACTAAATTACTAAAAACAAATTATAAAAAGGAGCCCTCCGAAAAGCAAAGAGGCTCACCAACTGACCCTGAGTGCTTAACCGGATCAACGAGGTGCTGGGTATTGATCCTGGTTACCTGTGTCTGCATCATAAAATGATGCAGGCCAGATGACATCAGTACATTGAATGTACGAGTATGCGAGGGGAATACAAAACATGACATAAGCTTGGAAAGAATCTGGAAAAAACACTTACTTTGACTTTACTCAACTCATGAATAACTCAACTCAAATGCAAAGTTAAACAACAATAATGGTGCAGTTATACAAAGCATTTAAAATAGTAGGTAGCAACTCAATTTGTTAAAGAAATGCAATAACAACTCAGTTTACATATAAAGTAATATAATACAATGGGGTTTTCTCTAACCGACAACCACCACTATGAATTTAAGTGATGATACATCATCTTGCCCACGCTGCCAAAACTATCTTATGCTTTGTTGTAAAATAGAACGCCTTAACTAAGTGGATCCACTAGTCTATGCTAAAAAGTACTAAGGAATCATCTAAAAAGTATGATCCTTTACTACCCATGATGGCTACATGGTTTATCGAGTCTTCAGTTATTATGAACTCGCGTCCCCATATAGGTGCTTAATACTACTCCCAAAATATACTCAGCTCATATGTTTTTAAGAGAAAAAACTCTTTCTTTGGTTTGAGATAATTACTCAAAACTTAGCTTAAAAGCTCTCTTGGAAATAGGTGTTTCCTTTTTGCTCAAATGTGAAAACATCTTTAACTCGTGGGAATACTTAGTTCACGTATAATCTTTGAAGAAATGAACTTTACTCTTACTCATTACTCAACTCAACGATTAAGTCTTAAACCAAAGTTAAAACGTTTGTGAAAGATCACTGAAAACCTCTATGAACTTCTCTTGAATTAACTCTTAAGTATCCTTGAATTGAAGTATGTATTCAAGGCACATAATCTCGTGTTAATGATGATTTCATGATGTTTATACGTACCTTAGAGTATAGAAATCGACTAGAAAATAGAGGTACGTTGCTGAGGAACTAGTACGGAAAAAAAGGGAAAAAAGTGGAATAATTGGCGTCATTGCCGCTCCGAAAGTCATGGGGCACCAAGCATTGAATTTCAGGGACTGGGTTGTAACGCTCTATCTGGCGCGGCACCCTAGAGCCCCATTTGGGTTGCTCTGGCTGGGGGCTGGGGCGGTGCCCTAGGCCTCTGCCCCGAAACCTCCAACTTTTCTTCTCTATTTTTCAACTCTAATACTCTCTAATTCAATTGGTTATTTCCCCAAACAGTTAGAATAAACTATACCATCAATATATGGAGGATTCTACTCGAAAACACACCTAAAATCATGAGTCAAACTTAAGAAACATCAACAACAAGAACCCACAGGATTTCAAATGAATTATCATTAAGAACTCATAAGATCTGCTTTCAAAACAATACAACTTCGCTGAATTAATCATGATTAGTGAGTGGTGCACTAACCCAACTCTATGTGATCTCACATACCTCGTAGGATTGAATCCTTGGTGAAATACAGAACCAAATTGTACGATTTTGACGAATCTTGCATTTTCTTCTCCTTTCTCCTCTTTTCTCCTTTCTCCAAGCCTTAGAGTGATTTTCCTATTTTCTAAATGATCTAATTCTGATTTGACCCCAATTAAACTCCTAAAATCTAACTAAAATTATTGCTTAAGGAAAAGACCAAACTAACCCTCAATAATCCGCATTAGACTTTTCTTATTTGGACAGCCCAACTTCAAATAGGAATATCTCACTCATACAAACTCGGAATCGCGTAAACTCGGCAGTGTTGAAAGATAATTCCAAAATATTTCCTTCGGTATATAGAAGAACACCTAACTCATCCTGAGCTAGGAGTTATGGTCGTTTGAATTTTACCAAAAGCTCAAACTTAACTTAACCTAACTTAACATATTTTCCAGATTTTTCCTGCTTTCCTAAAATGACTCTTTCCAATTCTAACTCATTCTAGTTCTTTCAAATAGAGAGATGTTACACCTTATCCCCAACCTGAAACTATAAAGCACACCGATATTGGTGAGCATACTTCTTCATCCTCTTAGCCGCCTTCCTCAAGGTATCTTGCATTTCATCTAGCATCTCTTGCTTATCACGCGGATACCTGTAGGCAACAGGACCTTTACCATAGGACTTAAATTTAGTGACTTCGAACGGGGTGTTACGCTTGTCACACCCCTTTTTTTTCCCTCAAAATTAATTTATGTATGTTTTGAAAGAAAAAAGAGTTTCTCCAATTAAAGTAACATTTTGAAAAGGGATTATTTTATTATTCAGAGTCGCCACTTGGAATTGAGTTTTGGTGTTTCAAGTCACCTTATTTAAATCCCTAATCAAAAGGAAATTTGACTCTTTATTTTATTCGGTTTGCGAAAACAAAGATCGGGTAAGGAATTCTGTTGACCAAGGGGAAGGTATTAGGCACCCCTCGAGTCCCGTGGTTCTAGCACGGTCGCTTCATTGACTATATATGACTTAAATTAATTTTCAAATACTGTATTATTAACTTATTAATAAAAGTTATTTACCTCATTATTGAACCTATTTATATTATATTAATATATGTTCGTTAATTAAAAAATGTATAAAAAAAATGTATATCACATAAATTTATTCAAACATAATAAAGTAAAGTTAATAGATGGATATTTACAAATCTTGAAATGTCTTGTAATTTCTTTTCTTCTCCTTTTCTTTTTCATGTATTTGTATTTATTTATTTTTATTGTAGATAGAAAATATATAGGTATCTAATTGCTAGGAATTAGAATTTGTGTAGGATTGAGATTTTTTGAGTTTGAGTATTTTAGGATTGTATTTTTTTTTGTTAGATTTAAAATAGAAATAAAATTTTATGTGATCTGGATTAGTTTTAGCAAGAAATTCTAAATAGATTAGGACTATTTTTTAGAAAGATTTTTCCTTCTTGATTTTTAATTTCTTTTTTTTTTCCTTACTTTTTTTTTCTTTTTTACGATTTGGGTTTTATTAATTTATTATTTTTTTCTTTTGTCTCTTTGTATTTTATTTTACGTTTTTTTTTTTTTACTTTATCCTTTTTATTATTTTTTTATTTTTTTGGACATTCTGCTTTTTGTCTTTTTTTATTTATTTATTGTTTATTTTATTTTATTGTTTTAATCATTTTTTTTCTCTTTTTAAGTTTTTGTTCTGTTTCTTTCTACTTTTCTTCTTTATTTTTTTTATTCTTTATTTATTATCATTATTATTATTATTGTTAGTATTATTATTTATAATAATGATAATATTATTATTCTTAATACTAAATTTCTAAATAAGATTTATTCTCCTCTTAATTAACAATTCCACTTAAAGTAATAGTTTTCCTATGCTTATTATCAAGATAAACTATTTTTTATCAAAAATAAAAATAAAAGGACTAAAACATATCCAGATAGCTTTTCTGAATTATTAATTATTTAAGTTTTTTTTTTTTTTAATTTTATTTACATCAAAAGCTAACAAGTCTACAAATAATTTCAACAAAATTTCTTAAATGAAAACTAAGCTTCAAGAAGTATTATCTATTCAAAAAAATTAAATATCATGTAACCAATTTTAATATCAATTGCATCTAAAGAGCATAAGACAAAATAAAAAAATGTATGGTACATCATTTATTTTTATTTTTATATTATTTTTTTAACAAGAAACATCTTCGGTTTCGTTTTCCTAAGCATTCATAAATTCTCAAAAATATTCACAACATGCATCACAGATTGATATTACATAATAATAATATGCGATTCAAAGAACTTCATATTATTGGAATCGAGTTTTCATACAACTATTCTATTTAAATCATGCGAGAATTTAGAGTTACCTCGCTACGAAAATTGATACCACAAAAACAACTGCTACTATCTACTGATTTCCAAAGTTAATAGCTAATATTAACTTTAAAGAGTCACGAATCCGAAACCTTGAGCGAAATCTCGAACGCTGACCTAATTCTCAAAAAATAAAACTCACTTTTTGTTATATTTTTTCTCTCTGTGTTTCTATTTTTTTTCTGTGTGTATGCGTATCCTTTTTCTTTACTGAGCGTATGTTTTTATAATAGTTTGGGGTGTGAGTCTGGTGCTAATTAAAAGGAACGTGATGGAATGGGAATAAGATTTAATTTAAAATTTAGTTGAGAATTTTAGGATTGAGATAAAGGAAGAAAAATAGTAATATAATATTAACAAAACAAATAATAAAAAATAAAAATAAAATAAAATAAAGAAAGAACGAACAGAAAAGAAAGAAAAGAAAAAAAAAAGAAACGTGTAAAAAAAATAAAAAGAAGAAAAGATCGTGCAAGAGGAGAAAAGAAAAAAAAAATAGAAGAGAAAAAAATAAAAAATAAAAAAAACTAAATGGGAGGAGGATTTTTAGCAA